AGTAGAGTGGGTAATGATACTGAGTAGAGTGGGTAATGATACTGAGTAGAGTGGGTAATGATACTGAGTAGAGTGGGTAATGATACTGAGTAGAGTGGGTAATGATACTGAGTAGAGTGGGTAATGATACTGAGTAGAGTGGGTAATGACACTGAGTAGAGTGGGTAATGATACTGAGTAGAGTGGGTAATGATACTGAGTAGAGTGGGTAATGATACTGAGTAGAGTGGGTAATGATACTGAGTAGAGTGGGTAATGATACTGAGTAGAGTGGGTAATGATACTGAGTAGAGTGGGTAATGATACTGAGTAGAGTGGGTAATGATACTGAGTAGAGTGGGTAATGATACTGAGTAGAGTGGGTAATGATACTGAGTAGAGTGGGTAATGATACTGAGTAGAGTGGGTAATGATACTGAGTAGAGTGGGTAATGACACTGAGTAGAGTGGGTAATGATACTGAGTAGAGTGGGTAATGATACTGAGTAGAGTGGGTAATGATACTGAGTAGAGTGGGTAATGATACTGAGTAGAGTGGGTAATGACACTGAGTAGAGTGGGTAATGATACTGAGTAGAGTGGGTAATGATACTGAGTAGAGTGGGTAATGATACTGAGTAGAGTGGGTAATGATACTGAGTAGAGTGGGTAATGATACTGAGTAGAGTGGGTAATGATACTGAGTAGAGTGGGTAATGATACTGAGTAGAGTGGGTAATGATACTGAGTAGAGTGGGTAATGATACTGAGTAGAGTGGGTAATGATACTGAGTAGAGTGGGTAATGATACTGAGTAGAGTGGGTAATGATACTGAGTAGAGTGGGTAATGATACTGAGTAGAGTGGGTAATGATACTGAGTAGAGTGGGTAATGATACTGAGTAGAGTGGGTAATGATACTGAGTAGAGTGGGTAATGACACTGAGTAGAGTGGGTAATGATACTGAGTAGAGTGGGTAATGATACTGAGTAGAGTGGGTAATGATACTGAGTAGAGTGGGTAATGATACTGAGTAGAGTGGGTAATGATACTGAGTAGAGTGGGTAATGATACTGAGTAGAGTGGGTAATGATACTGAGTAGAGTGGGTAATGATACTGAGTAGAGTGGGTAATGATACTGAGTAGAGTGGGTAATGATACTGAGTAGAGTGGGTAATGATACTGAGTAGAGTGGGTAATGATACTGAGTAGAGTGGGTAATGACACTGAGTAGAGTGGGTAATGATACTGAGTAGAGTGGGTAATGATACTGAGTAGAGTGGGTAATGATACTGAGTAGAGTGGGTAATGATACTGAGTAGAGTGGGTAATGATACTGAGTAGAGTGGGTAATGATACTGAGTAGAGTGGGTAATGATACTGAGTAGAGTGGGTAATGATACTGAGTAGAGTGGGTAATGATACTGAGTAGAGTGGGTAATGATACTGAGTAGAGTGGGTAATGATACTGAGTAGAGTGGGTAATGATACTGAGTAGAGTGGGTAATGATACTGAGTAGAGTGGGTAATGATACTGAGTAGAGTGGGTAATGATACTGAGTAGAGTGGGTAATGATACTGAGTAGAGTGGGTAATGATACTGAGTAGAGTGGGTAATGATACTGAGTAGAGTGGGTAATGATACTGAGTAGAGTGGGTAATGATACTGAGTAGAGTGGGTAATGATACTGAGTAGAGTGGGTAATGATACTGAGTAGAGTGGGTAATGATACTGAGTAGAGTGGGTAATGATACTGAGTAGAGTGGGTAATGATACTGAGTAGAGTGGGTAATGATACTGAGTAGAGTGGGTAATGATACTGAGTAGAGTGGGTAATGATACTGAGTAGAGTGGGTAATGATACTGAGTAGAGTGGGTAATGATACTGAGTAGAGTGGGTAATGATACTGAGTAGAGTGGGTAATGATACTGAGTAGAGTGGGTAATGATACTGAGTAGAGTGGGTAATGATACTGAGTAGAGTGGGTAATGATACTGAGTAGAGTGGGTAATGATACTGAGTAGAGTGGGTAATGATACTGAGTAGAGTGGGTAATGATACTGAGTAGAGTGGGTAATGATACTGAGTAGAGTGGGTAATGATACTGAGTAGAGTGGGTAATGATACTGAGTAGAGTGGGTAATGATACTGAGTAGAGTGGGTAATGATACTGAGTAGAGTGGGTAATGATACTGAGTAGAGTGGGTAATGATACTGAGTAGAGTGGGTAATGATACTGAGTAGAGTGGGTAATGATACTGAGTAGAGTGGGTAATGATACTGAGTAGAGTGGGTAATGATACTGAGTAGAGTGGGTAATGATACTGAGTAGAGTGGGTAATGATACTGAGTAGAGTGGGTAATGATACTGAGTAGAGTGGGTAATGATACTGAGTAGAGTGGGTAATGATACTGAGTAGAGTGGGTAATGATACTGAGTAGAGTGGGTAATGATACTGAGTAGAGTGGGTAATGATACTGAGTAGAGTGGGTAATGATACTGAGTAGAGTGGGTAATGATACTGAGTAGAGTGGGTAATGATACTGAGTAGAGTGGGTAATGATACTGAGTAGAGTGGGTAATGATACTGAGTAGAGTGGGTAATGATACTGAGTAGAGTGGGTAATGATACTGAGTAGAGTGGGTAATGATACTGAGTAGAGTGGGTAATGATACTGAGTAGAGTGGGTAATGATACTGAGTAGAGTGGGTAATGATACTGAGTAGAGTGGGTAATGATACTGAGTAGAGTGGGTAATGATACTGAGTAGAGTGGGTAATGATACTGAGTAGAGTGGGTAATGATACTGAGTAGAGTGGGTAATGATACTGAGTAGAGTGGGTAATGATACTGAGTAGAGTGGGTAATGATACTGAGTAGAGTGGGTAATGATACTGAGTAGAGTGGGTAATGATACTGAGTAGAGTGGGTAATGATACTGAGTAGAGTGGGTAATGATACTGAGTAGAGTGGGTAATGATACTGAGTAGAGTGGGTAATGATACTGAGTAGAGTGGGTAATGATACTGAGTAGAGTGGGTAATGATACTGAGTAGAGTGGGTAATGATACTGAGTAGAGTGGGTAATGATACTGAGTAGAGTGGGTAATGATACTGAGTAGAGTGGGTAATGATACTGAGTAGAGTGGGTAATGATACTGAGTAGAGTGGGTAATGATACTGAGTAGAGTGGGTAATGATACTGAGTAGAGTGGGTAATGATACTGAGTAGAGTGGGTAATGATACTGAGTAGAGTGGGTAATGATACTGAGTAGAGTGGGTAATAAAGTGTTAAAAGCCAGTTAGGCCCTTATTCATGGATCACACACGACGGGTTTACGTGGCTCTAGTAAAAAAAAAAGCCAGTAAAGGAAATGCTAGTACAGCGGGCAGTGGGCTGTGAATGGATGACAGGATAAGCAGAGTTCTGGCCAGAGAAGTCCAACCTCATGAATAAAGTAGCGCCGTGTTAGGGTGCACAGACCAGTGTGTGTTAAGTGGTAGGGATGAGTAGCGCCTGGCAATTAGGGGTGCGCGGATTATTCCCGGAATAATTTGGGAATACTATCGTCGAGAAAATTTTGGGAATTTTAGGGGAATTCTATCGATCTTTTGCCAGATCCATTGACCTTCAGAAGAGTTTTGGGGGAATTCTGTCAATTCTGACCAGCCAGAGAACAAGCGCGCATCCATAAACACACGTACATGTACAATCACATGTACATGCAGCAATACCCGGACACGACATCGTAGCTGTGTACAGTCAGATGTAGATCTAGTACATGTAGTGTAGATCCTGCATGCAGTGATCACGTGCCTGACCGTCCATTTTGCATACTAAAGAGCATGCGCAAGGCACGGTTCGTGCCGGGGTTCTTTTTTTGGGGGGAATTCTGGAGAATTTTTTCGATGTTTTGGGTAGGGCTGAAACGATCATTCAATAACTCCTAACGATCAACCAATATCATTAACGATCGATATATTGGTTTTATCGATTCTTGTCGGCTCTATCGAACACCAGTTTATGAAGAAAGACTATGATTCCTTTGCTGCGTTAGAAATTTGTGGCACCGCACTGTTGACATCTGTAGATATCTGGCTGGTTTTATCAACATGAACTACTCACGTAGAGAATTTCATGTTGTTTCTAGAGTGAAGAATCTTATCATCACCCTCTGGCAACTGCTCTCATCTCCGACTTCTCCCACAAATGAAGCGAAAAGGCAAAGTCTTCTCTCCCGAACTCTTTCAAAGCCACAAATCAATTTTACTGCACTTGAAAGTACATGATTGCACTCGTATCCACTATCGGATGGAGTGTAAGGGCTAGAATACTGTCACTAATATGCATGCATAAAAAATCGTTAGCACTCGTTTTGAACACTAACGATTATCGATTGCACTCTTAGCGATTGATATGCGAGTTATCGATATAATTGTTTCAGCCCTAGTTTTGGGAGAATACTTTCGAAGTTCCGCAGGAAATGCCCGAAAGCATAATATCGGTTGCGTGCGAGCATAATCCGCGCACCCCTACTGGCAATGCTATTTTATTCATGAGGTTGGGTTTTTTTTGTCCAGTACTGTAGATCCTGGATAGGACACATGTTGTGCAGAACAAGGGACAGGTTTAGTAGTCACACACATAATGGATACGTGTGAACGAGGGTGACTGCTGTCAAGTTCATGCTATGGACTGGCGTTCGCAGTGACTGGGTTTTTGGTCACATGGATTCGGTATGTGTGAGCGTGTGGATGTTAGGGTGTGTTTTGGCCGCAAATGAGGGCCAGTTCTTATGTATTTGTGCGTGCTGGTACGTGGGTGGGTGTTTTTGGTGTGTGCACGTGTGCATGCGCGATTGTGTGTGTGTGTGTGTGTATGCGTGTGTATGCGTGCGTGTGTGCGTGCATGTGCATGCATGCGTGTGTGTGTATGTGTATGTGTATGTGCATGCACATGTGTGTGCTTGTACTGTGCCGCCACCGCCGGCCATCAACACCACTCATCGTGCAGGGTGCAAGATGATGGAGGCGGGCACGTTTGTCCAAGCGCTAGACGACGTGATCGCCGCCCAGTTCCCCAGCGACCTGGTGCTGCAGTGCCTGTCCAAGTCACTCACGCACGTCGAGGGCTACAAGGACACCATCTTCCTGCACGAGGAGGCGTTCGACGTGCTCGGAGGCTTCGCCGACAGCGAGGAACGGCCGACACACCCCGGCGACCTGGACGACTACGACCTGGATGACCCGGACATACAGGCGGCCATACACGGGTACAACGTCTCCATCGACCAGTTCACGGCCGACCGGCTGCTGCGCGGCGTGCACGCCAAGCTTGCCAATCCCAAGGAGAGCGACGACGTGGACGAGCTCAAGCGCCTGGCCGCCGTCCTGACGCGCATCGCGTTCCGCGACAACATCGACCACCGCGAGTCCATCGTCGACCCGGCGCTAGTGGCCCTAGTGGCGGCCGCTCACGCCGACGGTCGCCACCCCAGCAACCCCAACAACCAGCAGTAGCGTCGTCCCGACGACCGGTTGCCGAGTAGCAGCCGGTAGCCTAGCAACAGCGTACATGCCATGGCAACACTTAGAGTAGTAGTCGTACTGTATAGTGTGAGCAACCACGTGAAGTAACTTAGCAACGTGTAACGTAGCAACCAGTAACCTAGCAACCAGCACCCGTCTAATATATTAGGCGGTGTCCTAGCAACCACGTGACACGCCAATCTGTCTCCTAGCAACCTCTAACATTACGAACGCCCCGAGTGAGCCCAGCCAATTGCATTCTGATTCCGGCGGACCAGGAAACAGACTCAGTCGCTGGTGATGAAGACATTCCCGACGATGGAGACCCCTCCACAGGCGAGATGCGTTTGGGGAATCCTGAAATACTCACACACACTTCCAAGACATTGGCTTCGCGCAACGATGGCTGGGGTGGTCATACGTGCAGCCAGGCATTGGTCTGCCGCAACACTGACTCCAACCAGACTGGCACGGGTGAATCCCGACACGATGACATCATCAGTATCAAGGCGAGGCGATATGTCCAACAAAACGTACTACGACGCACGCAGATGAACACAGTCACATGATGGGAAAACCGAGACAAACCGGGGAAAACCCAGAAAATCCAGGAAAACCCAGAAAATCCAGAAAATCCAGAAAAACTAAGCCGACACATAAGGACACTGTGTGTTACTGGAGAAAACATTTCTAAGAGAGAACCATCTTGAAAACCAGTCATTTTATGCACCTGACAGCAGCCTCCCGGAAATCGTCGCTGTTAACATGTTAGTGAGTCGTTGTCTAATGTTACCGCTCTTGTGTGTCACACATGATGATGGTGATGTTGATGTCCGGGTATGGCAGAGTTCCGACGTGTTGTTAACACCTTGCTGCAGTGTATATCGACGACAAGCTCGAAACTGAAATAGACAGCACGAACTGCTTGCATACTCGCCGCCGCGGTGTCCGAGTGTACAGCGTGCATAGCAATGGGCGTGCATGTTTTGGACACGTATCACATTCCATTATTACACTAGTATGTGTTGTATCTCCAAACCCCATGTCAGATTTTTAAGTAAGGTGTCCATGACAGCAGTAACTACAGCAGTACTATAATTATTGATATGAAGAATTCAACACTGGCCATACTTGGTATTCTGGCATGCACACACACGCACGCGCGCACGCACACGTCACAGAGCACTGTCCATCTTCGTTGCAACCAGGCTGTAAATTGTAGTTTCATGCCCTTTTAGGCAATCACCAGTAGGGAGGGCCTGAATATGCTCAAAATTTCGCATATTATGCTTTTCGCATATTGGCCACTTGCTTCAAAATATGCTTCGAAATCACACAAAAGCAGAAAAATATGCTCGAAATATGAACTGATATCAGTGATGCAAATTCTTTGCTCCTTGTAGCAAAATATGCTACATTTGGTACAATATGCTAGATTTGCTACTTTATGCGACCTTGAGTCGCGGACACTCTCTTCTCGGGTCAAATTTTCGCCCCGTGTTTGGACGAGCATTTTTCCTTCCGGGATAAGTTTGGAAGTGTTCCCTGACCGAGCGTGCCGTGGTAAATTTCCTTGTCTATTTCCGCAATCTGCCCTATAATTATGCGAATTCTTTGCTCCTTGTAGCAAAATATGCTACATTTGGTACAATATGCTAGATTTGCTACTAATATGCGACCTTGTGTCAAAAGGACCAAAATAATTATTATGCGAAAATATGCACCAGCATATTCGGGCCCTCCCTAATCACCAGGCAACTGGTAATGCTTGAAGAGCCAATATCCGATTATATACAGTACTCGTGCAGAGCCCTCTCTTGAAGAATAGTGCTCTATCTCGAATAGTGCCCCAGTCTCTAAGAGCCAGTTATTAAAGCCCTCTCTTGAATAGTGCCCCCTCCCCCCCCCCCAAGCGCATGTGGAAGTTTGGTGTTCTTTCTCCGATGTTCTTGTCTAGGACATTCTCATTGCACTGGTGGTTTCAGGATCAAAATCCCAGTTCTTGTTGCCGTTTCTAAAAAATAGTGCCCTCTCTTGAATAGTGCCCCATCTGTACATGTGATGGACATTGAAGAAATTGTACCCCAGGGGCGCTCACACACTTCATCAAGGAACTGGCCCCTGGCCGGTGAGAAGGCATCCTTGCCTGTAAATCTGATGAAGTAAAATAAAACAATAACAACACACACACACACACACACACACACACACACACACACACACACACACACACACACACACACACACACACACACACAAACACACACACACACACACACACACACACACACACACACACACACACACACACACACACACACACACACACACACACACACACACACACACAACACACGCACACACACACACGCATCGTGACTTCAAGCAATGGTGCTTGACGGTCACGCAGTCCCACAAGCGCAAACCGAGAGAGAAATGATCATAATCTTAGACAAACGACAGAGAGGGTAGACAAACACGATCACGACGAAACGGAAATGTGCGTGGCTGGCAACAATTCACCATCCAGAAAGAATGGCAACAGGATCTAACCAGAACATGCTGTGAGGATACGGATGAAGAACTGAGGAAAAATAAATACGACAGATATTGAACTATACAAGCCATAAATCCGAGCACGTATATTCTGGTTCCTTTCCCGATTACATCGCAGTTCTGAACATATGCATAATCGCAACACGTCAGTCTTGTCCATTTTTTACACCTCTTATCAATACAAGCTTTCTACGTGAGTCCCACGTCCCCGTTACTCACACGACACAACTAATAGGAGAGTTAGTGATAGCAAAACATAAAGACAATACACTGAGACCAAAAATTCACAACGGAAAGAGTCCGCAAAACGACGTGAAAGAAAAGCAGCAGGACTAGAGGTATGCAGGGCAGCAGAAGTGAGGAGTGCAAAAATTACAACTCCACACCGGCTAGTACCCTGAATATCATTCTAGACCTATCTGCTTGGTTGAGCTGGAGTGTCTGCTCCTTCACCATCACCAACGAGCCTGCGAAACACACACAAGACAATGATTTGCAGAGCATTATACCGCGGGTCACAGTCTGCACTTGATGAACGTACAAATCGACACGACCCCACCCCGAATAACCCCAACCGCCTCCTGCTCACGCAATCCCCGCCCCAGCCGCTCTCTTTCCCTGCCCCACCACAACCGCCCCTGCTGTTCCCACCATCGCTCTCATGCAACGGAATTCCCCCTACCACCACCCTCCCTGCTGCCCCGCCAATGCAGTCCCCACCCTCCCCCTGCCACCATTGTCCTTGCTGCCCCACACCAATGCCCCCACCCTCCCCTGCCACCACCATCCGGGCTGTCCCCACCCTCCCCCTGCCACCAATGTCCCCACGAGCCCGCTGACGTTGCCGGATCACTCCTTTAGCACAATTTCTCTCTTTCGCGTACCAGCTGCTAGACACAGTGAGAATACTGACAGATAAGAACACCACCATTGCCACCCGCACCACAACCGCCAACACCACCATCACCACCCGCACCACAACCGCCAAGACCACCAGCACCACCACCCACGACACCCTACTTACTCAAAACGAGTCATGTCCTATGACTGGTTCATGCCTGCGCAGCAAAACACAAACCAACCGATGCACAGAAAGAATAACACCCCATGATGGCCAAACACATCGTGAATTGCTAGACAGATTGAGAAATGGATGTCAATGAATATTGACAGGGAGAGAGTGAGGGAGGGTGAGGGGGCGAGAGAGAGAGAGAGAGAGAGAGAGAGAGAGAGAGACATAGTGAGACAGAATGTTCGGAATCGCCAGGACACAGGTTCTTGTTAATAATTGTCGTCGGGGGGTTCAGTTCCAGACGATAGGCCTTCCGATTACTCTCGCATAGTCTCGCGTGCACCACGAACAGAGGACTGGGTATTTTGGTTTCACTCCAAAGAGAGCCTCAGGAAAAGCCGAAGAACAGAACAACAATAATGCGTACAAATGCACGCATGCGCAACCTGCGCAGTCTGCGCAGGCACGGATAACAGTTGGGAATCGAGCACGGCTATGAGTGAGTATTTCTCGCTCGAGCACTCGAGTAGAAGCCGGGCGAGCGCTCAATCTCAGGCGCTCCATCCTTCTATTAGGGCACAATGCGGCGTTGGGTCCTGTCCAGTTCTGGAAATTCTGCACACTGCACTTGCCCTTGTGGGCGCACAGGCCAATGTGGAGGGAGTAGGTGTTAGCCAACCTCGGCAGATACCTGGGGAGGGGGGGGGGGGGGGAGGGGCGTCCGAGTGCTTACCTCCATAGCAAATAAGATGATACTTATGTTCATAGGAACCTGGTGAGAAACGCTTGCTTCCAGTGGCAGCAAAGTTTATTGCTGAGTACGAGTTGCGGTCTTGATGAGTAGGCAGGCCAACAGCCACGTAGGGAATGTCAGGCCTGGAACCGTGCTTGGAGACAATCAGTGATTTGAACTTCTTGAAAATGCACTCCTTGACCTCTGGCGTATCCGGTGGCAGGTTCATGCCGTAATTCGCGCAGTGCTGACGGTTGATGTGTGCATTCGCCGGTGTTGTTCCGATATAGTACATACCGCCACCGCACGACGGTGGAGCTGCACACGCAACACAAGAACAGACGAACAGACGAACAGTGGACATGAACCAGTTGTAACGATTCTTTAATGATAGCTTGCATACCGTCCTACCGGTAGGACCACGGGTCCTACCGGTAGGACCCAAGAAATCGAGCTGCAAAAGTGCTTTTGGTTGAGAATTTTTTTTAAACAATTGTTGAGATGAGGTCTTTGTCAGGCAAAGTAATGGCGCAAAATGCAAGGCTATGTCCAGTGCATTGCGTATGCGCAATTTTACCGATTGTCAAAATGGCCGCACATAATCCTGTCGGTGCGCTAGCAACTCTGTCCAAAGTGAATTTTGACCATGGCACATCAATTGTGGTGAGGTCCTAATGTTTTTATTAGCTTTCCAAGGCCGTGGAATGCATATTTCCATACTCCGTTTCCATGGTTACCATGGGTTGTTACCATGGAATTTCGTAGTATGCCTTGTGCGATCATGTCTAAAATTTGTGGACTTCTTCATTAGCCCCTTAGCAACAGTTTAGGGTCAAGTTTTAGGTCAATGTTAGAACAGAGGCCATGCAGCATGTCTGTGTATGATGGTCCTACCGGTAGGTCCTACCGGTAGGACCGAGGTCTATGCAAGCTATCATTAAACACATTGCAGGGTAACCATGACAACTGGTTAGAATGCTCAATGCGGTCGCTGGTTGGTCAGTACTCCAGAACCCGTCAAACATGTACACATACGTACACACGCGTACACATACGTACACACGCGTACACATGTGTACACACACACATACACACAAGCACGCACACGCCCACACATATACACCATTTGACCATTTGACGGCCATCACCGGGGGTGATGATAGCGATGCTACAGCAGAAGCCATAGCAACTTATGCTGGGATTGCACCGTTCAACAGCTTGCAAGGCTGAAGAATCGACCGCCACTATTCAGCCTGGTCTACACCACACAGCTATGAAGTGGCTTTTTCTGGCCAGTGAATCCCTACTTTTTGGTCTTTTTTATTTATTTTTCCCGCACATTCATCACACAACATACTCCGGCATGCACTGGCTGTTGGTAACCACCCAGGAGAATGAAAGAAAAGTCAGGAGGAGTCTGAGAAAGAGAAGAAAGACGCGTGTGACCATAATCGTCGGGAATTGAACCCGCAACCTCTCGATTGGAAATCGCTGCACATACCACTGCACCATATGGGACACACACACACACGCACATATACAAACACACACACCATGTACACGCACACGTGCATGCACGCACGCGCACACACACAGTCAGTTCAGTGAAAGAATGTCAGTGTGTCTCTACTCAGAGTGGAATGTCGTTACGCAGCAATCAGGACAACACTAGACTTCCTCTATGCATGCCCATATAAAGGCGAACTATTCTTGTGCCACCGTACTGCTGAACAGCAGTCATGATAGAGAGTGGTGTGTTTACATCCGCTTGTGGCCAACGACGTCATGTGACCCATAGATGCAGGAGTTGAGCCGAGTTGGAACCAACGTGGCCATCCTGTTTGGTCATGTGACCCTTGAGTGGCTCACGACTGCCGTCCGGAGCGCTCGAGAAGCGTGCTGTGCCCTCCTCTCGGCAAACCTGAGCTCCAGGAGCTTTCCAAAGAGCCCAAGATTGTGGAAATGGCGCGAAGGAGGCCAACATTATAGCCTGCTGAAGGTGAACATTGTGCTGAAAATTCAAATTCTGCTACATTCTCTGTTGGAAATCAGTACATAAAGGGTTAATGCATAATTGTGTCACTAAAGGATGTTCTGAACAAAATGATAATCCGCTGATGCATTCTTTTCTTCCGATTATCATCTTCTTTCCTTCTTTCTTTTTCCTTCTCTTGCCATGGCTGGCTAACGCCCCCTCCTTTGCATTGGCTTCTGCCATTGGACGGTGAAATAAAATGAAAACGAGAGAGCTTGGAAGCTCAGGGCCCTACGCTATGCTTTTTTGCCTTGATGACCTAGACAAAAAAGCATAGGGATGTTATAAATTCTTATTAATTTCTACTTTTTGTTTTTAGACATAACCTGGGATTCGAACCCGCACTATCGCCCTGCGTGCATTCCCCAATACACTTCGCATACATACTAATTCTTACAAGTTGCTTCACGTTATGATCTTGTATTTGAAAGCCCTATTTGAATATGCATTGTGGCCAGCCATCTTTGATTGTACGGTACGGTACGGGACAGGTACGGGACAGGTACGATCGAGGGTAATACGACACCATCTACCGCTTTGATGACGGCAAAAAAAGAAGAGGGATGTTATACTTTTTTCAAATCTCCTTTTTTTTCAGGCATTACCTGGGATTCGAACCCACACTATCACCCTACATGCATTCCCCCATACACTTCGCATTCATACTCATTCTTCCAAGTTGCTTCACGTTATGATCTTGCGTTTGAAAGCCCTATTTGAATAGTGCGGCCAGCTGTATGTGGCCAGCTGTGTTTGATGGTACGGTACTGTACGGGACAGATACGGGATAGCGCCAGGCGTGACACAAACACACAAACAAACAAACGCCAAATTAAAGCTGTGTGGACCCTGGCTAGCGCCAGACGTTACTGAAGTAACGTCTTCTGCATAGCTACGGGAATAAATAAAACGAAATAATGATGAGGCTGGCTGTTCAACTGGGAACATATGACTTACGTGTCACACATATCAGAGTTGACACCCCCAAAGTCTTTTTCCGTTGTACTGCGCTGGGAGATGCCGTTGCCCAGGCGCTTGACTGATCAATCGCGTTCCTGGTCGTTACGGGCACTCCATCGACGGCAGGCCAGCTGGTTAGTAGCCATGCCTGGCTTAGTATGGTGTGGAGATGCAGTTCCCTGAGTGCCTGGACGACCGTGGCCAGTAGGAACGTTCTCGGCAGAGTTAGCTTCAGGCGTTCGCACTCGGACTTGGCGCGTTCGTACGAATACACGGGCGTGGTGGTCGGGTCACGAACCCGGTACGCCTGGAAGAGTGCCGTCTGAGGCTTAGCCATCTTGCCTAAACACACACACACACACAGACAGCGTACGCGCATGAAGCATCTGTTCAGATCAAGAAATCTCTTATTAAAAATACGGTATTTCCCCGATTATGAGTCGCACTCGATTATAAGTCGCACCCCCATTTTCAGGTTTGAGCAATATTGTTGCGATATATTCACTTCAGTTGTAAGTCATGCTCGATTGTAAGTCGCATCCCCTTTTCTACCCTGAATTTTAGTGTAAAAAGGTGCGACCTATAATCGGGGAAACACGGTATCAACTCAAGGAGCATGTGAGCTGGACTATCACTGGACTATCACGGGCCGACTGAGCCCCCCCCCCCCCCCCAACACACAATACAGCGGAACGTAGCAACGCAAAAGACGCCCGACAACGATAGTACTGTACTACTGGTATCCTTGCTTGGTAGTTAACATGTTTTTCGATTTTGACAGCATGTTACAAGGCGAGGACGCATAGTGCTCCTGACTACAACCATAACAACCACCGAATCGAAAATACTCTACTACGGTAAGTCAACAAATATTTGGCGCATATTTTTTTATTTTCGACTATTCTCGGCCCGAGTATATTTGGCCGAAAATTTGTTCTGCAACATTCAGTGTGAGAGTGTGCACAGGCAGCAGCAGTACGGGCCGAAAATTTAACGCGACAAAAAATGTGTTTTAGCCCTGGGAGGTCGAAATTTGAATGGGCCGAAATTTGTGGACTTAAGTACCCAATAGAAGGAGCACGAGCATTTGCTGCAGACAAGTCGAAATGGAGATCAGACATTGTTTATGGATGAGTTTTTGTTGACTGGAGACAGAAGCGGACTTGGCTTAATTTCAGAGTATTCTCATGCATTGTTCTTTGGCCTTTGTACGCGTGCTGTGGTATTATTATTATTATTAAGTACCCAATTGTTTGCTAAGGTTGCCAACTGGCAAACGTTTCCCTGGTTACCATCAATGACAAGAACGTGATTACTAACGGCTTACGTGCACATGTGAAATTTCCTGACGTAGCGGGCAGACAGACGTAGTTAGCTCCAAGTGTTCTGCTGCAGTCCACGTCTTTCCTGCATTTCAGAATGGCGTTCCCTATGAACACACACACACACACACACACACACACACACACACACACACACACACACACACACACACACACACACACACACACACACACACACACACACACACACACACACACACACACACACACACACACACACACACACACACACACACACACACACACACACACACACACACACACACACACACACACACACACACACACACACACACACACACACACACACACACACACACACACACACACACACACACACACACACACACACACACACACACACACACACACACACACACACACACACACACACACACACACACACACACACACACACACACACACACACACACACACACACACACACATGTACACACACACACACATGTACGCACACACACACACACGCATATACACACACACACACACATGTACACACATACACATATACACACACATGTACACACATACACATGTACACACACACACACACACACACACACATGTACACCCATACATACACATATGTACACGCAAAGTTCGCAACAGACAGACATACTAGTTAAATGAGAAATACGGGCTTGGCCATACACGACTCGTACACGACTCACGAGCGACTCACGGAAAGGGTGAAAACACGCAGATGCGAAACATGCAAGGAGAGAAAAGTCGACGTGGAGAAAGCAGTATAATTGTAGCAATCAAGAATACAATCGATGCAGACATGGCACAGCGCCTTCCTAATCTGATTGACCACCCCCCCCCCCGTGGAGAAATGAAGCTCCCTACTCATAGTTGTGTATCAAGGCTACTTCATAACACGTAATTTGTATACACATAAATAGTACACTGTAGCCGTAATGCATGGATAGCTGTGTGCATACTCGCACTGCCTTGCTCTTCTTCTTCTTCTTCTTCTTCTTCTCCTTGTGAGACAATGAACGAATGATTTTGTGTTTTTTTCATGCCATTCAGCGAAAAATGAAGTCAATAGTAACAACTAGAGGGTTTTTTTTACTAAAACTTCTAAAAGCCATGTGGTGGGGGGGGGGGGGGGCAGGCGCGGGTTTATGAAGGCGCATTTGCCTGGGCTGAAATCGGAGGTTCGTCCACGTAGGTTACATTTTGCATGGCAAGACGACCATTTTTGGAAAATGGAAAATGGGTTACAGGGTAACTATTTCCCCTGCCCGCCCCCTGCCCCGCCCCTGCCCGCCCCCTGCCCCCCTACTATTTTTACTTGGCTAGAACCCTGTACACTACAACCTGTTGCATTTTAGGTGCCATCTAAATTTTATTATCTCTAATATAAGCACAGTCTCCAATAATAGCACGTCTCCAATAATAGAACACCTTGGGGCGGCATTCAAAAAATAAAGTGCTCAGTCTCCATTATAAGCACACTGTGTAAATTCATTATCTATACCGGCGAAAAAAAACCCTGAAATGTGTGTGTCTGACATGAATTTGGAATGGAAACATGCCTCTGAAATGAGGTTGAAATAATAATGGAACAGTCTCCAATAAAGGAACGTCTCCATTAATAGCACGGGGCGGAGGTACATTGAAAAAATAAAGGACCGTGCTTATATTAGAGATAATACGGTATCATTAAGTGCTGGGTTTCTTTTCTCTACCGAAATCACCAAAATTAAAGTTGCATTAAAATTTAAAACAACGCCGTAGGAACCGTCTCGAAGTCTACCAAGAGCAAAGTTACGCAGTAACTGATAGTGTTGTTAATGCAGGAAGATGACTTTCGGGAGTTGAGTTTTACCCCATGGGCGGCGGGCCCAACAATTTATTTATTTTATTCAACATCTTATGGCTTCCGATGGCATCCAAAACGGGAAGATGCGGGTGGTAGCCAACCATGGTAAAAGAACTTTGGTGGAATGTAAAGGTGATTCGCAGTGAAGAGACTGTGTTTGAAGTTGAAGAAGTATGTCTTAGTAGAGCTTGCGCTAACTGAGCCCCCCCCCCTACAATGCTAGACAAACACAGACAACTTCCTTCGCCTGTATTTCAGGAGTGACGTACTTTCTACCACGGGTCCTCCAGGATTGGTGCTGGGTGCCGGATCTGTGGCCAGAGAAAAGAAACCAGGGAACACACAATGTGCTTGCCTCCACGCACTGCATGCAAACAAGAGCATGGTAAATCATCATCCATTTCATCTTCATGCTGCCCAGCCAGAATAGGCAATGGCAGATAGTTCCCCAGGCAACTTGGGTTGCTGCACAAGGGATTTCACTAAGACTGCAATATTGAAAAGAAAGAAAAACCCCGCTCAGCTTTAGATGGCAGGAAAATTGATGCAACTCTCACCATCATTCGGCCTGCTGTACGTTTCATCACAATTTTCACGCCAAAATGCTGTACAAATTGACATGTATATTCATTGCAACACATCTCAAGGCGCAGTGGGAGCACTGGCCAATGTGGAGAGAGAGAGTGGGTGTTAGCCAACCGCGGCAGATACCTGGGGAGGGCGGATCCGAGTGCTTACCTCCATAGCAAATAAGATGATACTTGGCCGAATGCTCAGCCGTAAAGAAACGGTGCTTTCCAGTAGCAGCAAGGTTTATTCCCGAATACGTGACTTGCCTAAAGATTTCCACGTTACTGACATGCGGAGTAGGCAGGCCAACAGCCACGGGAATAAATTTACTATCGCTATCGGAAACTATCAGTGACCTGAACTTGTGATAAATGCATTCCTTGACCTCTGGCGTGTCCGGTGGCAAGTTCATGCCCCAATTCGCGCAGTGCTGACGGTTCAAGTTTGCACCCGTCGGTCTTGTGCCGATATAGTACACACTGCCGCCACACGACGGTGGAGCTACACACGCAGCAGAAACAACAGTGGACATGAATCAGTAAAAAAAGAACACACACACACAAACTTACACATACACACACACGCAACGCACACACAAACTTATACACACACACACACAAACTTATACACACACACACACACACACACAAACTCTCTCTCTCTCTCTCTCACACACACACACACACAAACTCTCACACACACAAACTCTCACATACACACTTATATTGTTGTTCTGATTTGCACTTGTTTTTTCTTTTCTTTTTCTTGCCATGGCTGGCTATAAGCGCCCTCACCTCCTCCTTGATTGGCCTTGGCCATGAGTGTGTGCGTAATAATATCAGTCGGTAGAGCATGAGACTCTTAATTAATCTCAGGGTCATGGGTTTGAGCCCCACGTTGGGCGCCAAATGTTGTAGTTGTAAG